ACACCCCCATCTGCCTGCCCGACTACACCAAGCCGCTGCCCCCCTGCCGCTCCGTCTGCGAGCGGGCCAAGGCCGGCTGCTCGCCCATCATGCAGCAGTACGGCTTCGCCTGGCCCGAGAGGATGAGCTGCGACAGCCTGCCCGTGCTGGGGGACACCGAGGTGCTCTGCATGGGATACAACCACACGGAAGCCACCACCCTGCCGCCTTTCTTCGGGAAGCCCACGCGCCCGGCCAAGGACGTGGCCAAAAACCTGACGCCGCTCGGCGGGCAGCGCCCCTCGGGGCCGGACTGCGGCCGGACTTGCAAGTGCAAGGCGCCCCTGATCCCCATCTCCAAGGAGTCCCATCCGTTGTACAACCGCATCAGGACTGGGCAGGTGCCCAACTGTGCCATTCCCTGCTACCAGCCTTACTTTACGCAGGATGAGAAGACCTTCGCCACCTTCTGGATCGGCCTCTGGTCCATTCTCTGCTTCCTCTCCACCTCCACCACCGTGGCCACCTTCCTCATCGACATGGAACGTTTCAAGTACCCTGAGCGCCCCATCATCTTCCTCTCTGCTTGCTACCTCTTCGTCTCCGTGGGCTACATCGTGCGGCTGGTGGCAGGGCATGCCAACGTGGCTTGCAACCCGGAGCACCACCACATCCACTATGAGACCACAGGTCCTGCCCTCTGCACCGTGGTTTTCCTTCTCCTCTACTTCTTCGGCATGGCCAGCTCTATCTGGTGGGTCATTCTGTCCCTCACCTGGTTCCTGGCAGCTGGCATGAAGTGGGGCAATGAGGCCATCGCTAGCTATGCCCAGTACTTCCACCTGGCTGCCTGGCTCATCCCCAGCGCCAAATCTATCGCTGTACTGGCACTCAGCTCCGTGGATGGCGACCCAGTGGCCGGGGTTTGCTACGTGGGCAATCAGAGCCTGGAGAACCTGCGGGGCTTCGTGCGGGCACCGCTGGTGGTTTATCTCTTTACTGGCAGCCTCTTCCTGCTGGCCGGCTTCATCTCGCTCTTTCGCATCCGCAGCGTGATCAAGCAGGGCGGCACCAAGACTGACAAGCTAGAGAAGCTGATGATCCGCATTGGCATCTTCACTGTGCTCTACACCGTGCCCGCTACCATCGTCATCGCCTGCTACATCTACGAGCAGCACAACCGTGAGGCGTGGGAGCGGGCGCAGAACTGCTCCTGCCCGGGGGACCCCCACCGCCCCAAGCCCGACTACGCCGTCTTCATGCTCAAGTACTTCATGTGCCTTGTGGTGGGCATCACCTCCGGTGTCTGGATCTGGTCCGGCAAAACACTCGAGTCCTGGAGGCGCTTCACAGCCCGCTGCTGCCAGGCCAGGAAGCCAGCGGGTGCCTCTGTGTATGGCGAGGCCAGCCCGGCGCTGGCAGGCAGGACAGTGCTGCCCAGCATGGCCTCCTACCACAAGCAGGTCCCACTGTCCCACGTGTGACCAGAGGGAGCCTCGGTGCCCCCAGCCGCAGGGGGGAGAGGGTTGCAAAGACCCTGGGCCACAGAAGGGAGGGTGGCAGCTGGGCCACCCCCAATAGCCTCAGCCCCACCGTGGCGGTGCTGCCCGGGACCAAGCCTGTGTGCCCATGGGGCATGGAGCAGACACAGCCCCACGCAAGGCAGGGAGAGGTGCTGCCAGTGACGTGGGGGCAGAGGGACAGGGAGGCCTGGAGCCTGGAATGGCCGTGTATGCCTCATTTGGGGTCCCATGCCCTCTTTGGGGTCCTTTGTTGCTGCTGGCTGCAGGCTGGTCAGGTGGCAGGTAGCCCTTGAGCACTGATTTGTGTCTCCACAACGAGTTTCTGGGCAGATCTTGCTGGTGCCAGGGTGAAGGAGAGAGCAGGAGCAGGCAGGGCAGGTGGTGGTCCCCAATGCTGGGTGATGCGCAGGCACTGGCACTGAGCCGCTTGCCAGAGCCCTGGGGGGTGCGAGGGGGCTGGGGAGAGCTGACAGTGGGGGCTGTCTCCCTGCCATGCTGTGCCCGGGCCCCCTGGGCAGAGTGAGACGGTGTCCCCATGCCCCTCGGGCGAAGCTGTGAGTGGCAGGGGAGAGGGCTGGTGGCCTCTGGGGTGATGCTGCTGTTGGCCGTGCTCAGGTGGCAGCACGCTGAGCAGCAGGGAGGGAGCTGTGTGGGCTGGGGGCTTCACGGGCGGTGGGGGTGCAGGA